TCTACTTTTATTAACATTTTATACTTCCTTTTTTTCTTTTATTATTTAATATAAATAATTTAATATTTAAATTAATATTACTTATCTTATAATTTTTTCACTTATTTATTACCTATTATTTATTTTTTACTTAAAATATAATATTTTTAAAATACCCGCGTGTAATAATAAGAATAAATACTATTTTAATAATAATAAGAGGCCCACCCTACTTTATATTATTAACGCGTGCTTTAAAATTAAATAACACGAGCCGCTAACACCCTTTAACAATGGTTAATGTTATAAGTATTTTAAGGTATCCCGCCTAAGCGACCCGATAATCCTAGCTGAAATACTGCGCCCAAGTGAGATTTGGAAACCACGAGATAACTTTACCCCATGGGCCTAGGTACAGTACCCAGGCATAACACCGACTTACATAAAATCCCACCCGGGACTATTACTAAGAGATATCTCAGACACCGCCCAAGGAAAACGACGCCTTACCATGACAGGACGCCACGCTGCCTCAAAATCGTCCGCCAAATCAGGGTACGTGACGGCGCTCACGCCCAGGTCGTGCAGTGCACTGTAGAGGGCATACAGGGCCAGCTTGTTGCCAAGATCTTCGACCCGCTCTACAGGTGGGAAGGCATGGATTGGGACATTGGCTGGTCACCCGTGGGCCTCACCGAGTCCGAATGGTCTCGTGAGGCTGCCGCCTACACGAGGATTGAGGAGATGATCAAGAAGCAAGGTTTCGACGGCAGGTGCACTCCGCGCTTCGAGGGCTGCTGGTCCTTCGACGTCCCCTACGAGCTGGAGCTGGTCAGCAACAGCGCTGCCGGCACCGCCACCAGAGGAAAACAACAGCAAAAGTCGTCGGACGAGGCTCTGCGTCGCACCATTAAGGTAACACGCAACGTGCGCCTGCTCCTGATGGAGTACATCCCGGGCGACAGCATATTGCAGCTACTTGAGACGCGCGAATATAAGAAGATCCCGACAGAGGTTCGCATGGACCTGGTAGCACAGGCTGCTGAGGCCGAAAGTGCCCTACGGCATATCCGTGTATCCCACGGTGATCCGGCCTCGCGGAACGTTGTTGTTGTTTGCACGAAAAAAGAACACCATCATTCTTCCTTCTCGGCCTCCTCCTCTCACTCGGGAAATGGCGAAGAAGGGGCCGGAAATGAACATAGACGGCGAGAACAAGGCGTTCAGGAGTGCCAGTGGCGTGTGGTGTGGGTCGACTTTGGCAATTCCATCGTGCTGGACCTACCCAACGCCAAATACAACATCAATGGCAGGCTTCCTCCCGCCGGGGGGCTGCCGCCTAACCCGATAAACATGTGCCGCGGGTGGTGGCCGGTCATGGACCTCTGCCTAGACGACGACATCAACTGGATCGACGAGCATCTTGACAATTTTGAGGCGAGGCGGAAATGGATGGAGGCGAGGTGGGGTGAGGGGAGTGCAAGTGCCCGCCGGTATCAGCCGGTGGAGTACGATAAATTGGCGCCCGAATGGAGGAACGAGAAGTAGGATGGCGGCTCGACAGATTCGAGCTGCGACATGAGGAGGGCCCGCGGCTTTTAGCTTTCGCCATGGGCATGTTTCCCGCTATGATTGATAATCACCACTCGGTTAGCAGGACAGGACAGGCAGATTTCGACCCGTACCTGTGATAGAAAAAGGACTGACTCCCCTCACCAGTAGATCTTGGTGGAAGAGGGGGCACGAAACATACGGTGTGGTCTCTTTAGGGTGTAATCACAAAGGAAAGTTAGTATGGTGTGAGCCCCTATAAAGTAACCTTCTCGCTAAGCCCCTTATATATGTAATTATTTCTTTTTAGGTATTAACCTAAAAGTTATTTATTAGAAATTAAGGTTATTACTATTTTTTTTATTAAGTAATTTAATTAAGTAAGGAGAAGTTTATATTATTATTATTATAATTATAAGTTATTATTTTTAATTATAAATAAATTAATTATACTATTATTAATTAAAAGTATATACTTTTTAATTATTATAATAACCTTTAAATTCTTTATTAATTAAGTTATTTATAGTATTAAAAATAGTATTTCCCTATTAAATATATTTATATAAATTCTTTTAATAATAAAGACTTTTTAACTTTATTAAATTTATTAATTAAGTTTATTATTAGTTAAAATTAATATTAACTATATTTTTAATTAAAGTAGACTTATAGAAATAAAAGATTATATTATTAATTATAAAAGGATTTATAAGTAAATAATAATATACTTTAAACTTATATATAATATTAACTTTAATAATTTAAAAGGTATTATTTAAATTTATATAGTTATAAATAAAATAATTTAATAAATTAATTATAATAAAACTTATATAAAAGAAGTTTATTAGCACCTTATTAAAAGAATAGCCTTTTAATTATAAATAGTTAAGTTATTTAAAATAAAATATAATATTAAAAAAGTAATATAAATAATTTATAATATTTTTAATATATTTTAATATATTATATAATAAAAATTAATAAAGTTAAAAGTTTAAAGGAAAACTTTATATTAATAATTAATTATTAATTAAATATAAATTAACTTTTAAATATAAAGTTTAAAAATAAAATAGTTTATAAAAATATCTTAAAAAAGTTATACTAAATAAAGAGATTAATATTTTATTATAAAAGAAGTCTCTTAATAATTATATTATAATTAATAAAAGAAAAAGTTTAGTAATAAATTAATTTATAAGTATTACTATACTTAATTAAAGGATTTTAATAATTTAAATTAAGCCTTAAAAGTTAGTAATATATTATTATTTTCTATTAAAACTTTAATTTTTTCTAACTATTTAATAAGCTTAAAAACTAGTAATACTTTAAGTAATAATATACTAATTATAGCTATTTAATTAAATAAGCCTATAAAAATTAATATAATTATAGCTATTTTTAAAGATTTATAAGCTTACTATAAAGTAAAAATAGTTAACTAAACCTTTATAATAATAAAATAATAATTACTTATTTATTTAAGTTTATAATAAACTTTTAACTATTATAATATAAAATAATATAAGGAAGTAGTTAAGAATAACCTAATAGTAACTTAAACTTAAAAAGTTAATAATAGTTAAAAAGTAAATAATATTAATTAAGTTAAAAGGGTTAATAAGTTATAAATATACTTAGTAATATAATAGTAGTTAAAAACTTTTAATTACTTTAAGGGCTATATTAAATATTTTTATTTAACTTTATAAATTATATTCTATTAAAATTTAAAATATATATTTTATAATTTATTCTTTATTTTATATAACCTATTAATAATTAAATTTTATCTCTCCTTATATTAAAATATATTAAAATATTACTTAAAATATAATAAATTTTAATATTTTTAATTATAATTAATAAAGTATTTAACTCTCTTAATAAATTTAAATTTTAAGTATTAAAACTTTTATATCTCTAATTAATTAATAAAATTAAAATTTAAATTAATATATATAAATAAAAACTTAATTAATAAATTTAAAACTTTTTAATATTAAAATACTTTATTTTAACTAAAAGTATTAAATTTTAATACCTTTTATAAAAGATACTTAAAAGTTAAGCTTTAAATACTTAATTAATAACTCTTTAATACTTAACTAATAAATTACTAGAATTTCCTATTAAAACTACTACTTTTCCTTAATTAATACTATTATAATACCTTTTATAATAATTTAATTATATTTTTATAGTAATTACTTTCCTTAATACCTTAAGTTTTATTTAATAAACTATTTACTTTACTTTATAGTAATAAGTTTATAAAATAATTTATTAAAAGCTCTTTTAATATCTTTTAAAACCTTATCTTTCTATTTATTTAAAGTTAATTAAAAGTTTTATAATATTATATAAATATAAATAAATTTAATTTATATTTTAATATTATATTTAAGTATAAAGATTTAAATAATCTTTTATTTTTTTAATAACTTAAATATTTACTTTATTATAATATAAAGATAAGTATAATAAAGGTTATATAATTTCTTTATATTATATAGTTTTTACTTTTTTTAATTTTAAAAATAATATTATATTAATATAAATAATATTAAAATACTTTTTAAAGCTTCAATTCTATATTTATTAGATAAAATCTATTTAAAAACTTTAAAACTCTTTTTATAACTATATTAAAAGTATATAATTACTTATTAAACCTTTATTACTAGTTAATATATATATAAATAATTTATTACTTTTTATTATAATAAAATATTTTATAATACTATCCTTTTTAATTTTTTATTTAATTTATTTATTTATAAAATATAAGCTATAATATATATATTATTAATTATACTAATATATTTATTAAAATATATATTTTTTTAAAGTTTATATTATTTATTAAGTTACTTTATTAACTTAAAGTATATAACTTTTTATATAAAATATAAAAATACTTTAAATAGTTTTTATAATTTTATTAATAATTAATTAATATAAAAGAATTAATAAATATAATTCTATTATACTTTATTATATATATATATTTAAAGAAATATTATTAATTATAATATTACTATTAATTACTTTATATTATTAAGGGTTATATATTTTTAATTAAATAAAAGTTTTTAAAGGTTAGCTTTAATATTTAAAATATATTATAAAAATATATTTTACTTTTATATAAAAGATATTTACTAACTTATTTATAATCTTTAATTTAATTTTATTATTTTATTATTAATATTAATAATAATAAAAGTAAATAATAAAATTTAAATTTTATATTAATTATTAAAGTTAAAAATATTAATTATTAAAGTAATAATTATTAAAAGTATATTTATTAAATTTAATTATTAAATATTATAACTATAAAAGCTATATTAATAAAAATTAATATATTATACTAATTTTATAAAATTAATTTATAAATTAATAAAAATATTAATTTAATAATAAAATATATATAAATCTTTTAAAGTAATTATAGTTTATAATAAAGTAAGAAATATATATTAAAGCTTAATATAAATTAATATAAATAGAAAATTCTACTTATAAGTAAAATCTATTATTAAATTAAAAATAAAAGTCTTATTAAAACTATATCCTTATTAAAATATAACTTATTTAATTACTATACTATACTAACTTTCTTTTATAATTATACTTTTAAGTATTTTAGTGGAGTTAGAGTAATGTTTAGAGATATAAGGTGTAGAACAGTCTATCTTTAACTAATATTACATTATATATGTATAGCGGGAACTAGGTCTAGCTTTTTTAAATATAGCGTGTTTATTTCTAGAAATCTTTTATTATATAAGGAGACCTTTAACATCCTTTAAAATAAACTTCCGGCTTACACACCGGTTAGCCGGCAATAAGAATTTATAAGTAATCTCTTAATTAGAACACTTATAGTTAGTATTATTAGTATTTACTTTTAGTGAAATTATATAAAGTGTTTAGAAATATTTTAATAAGATATAAGTTATATTATATAATATTATAAAGTTTTATAATAATTAGAAATTAAAGTTTTTAAAATATAAAAAAGAGATTAAATATTTTTATATTTATTTTTAATTATTATATATTTATTTCTTATTAAATTAACTTTTAATTAATTAAAATATTAAATATATAAATTATAAATACTTTAATAAATATATTTTTAATATTTTAAAAGAAATATAATATAAATTAATTTTTAAAATATAAATTATATTTATTAATTTAATATATATTTTTATTATATAAATTATTTATATTTTTAAATTTTATTATTAAATTAAAAGTAAATAGTTAAAGTTTTAAAAGAATAAAATATAATATATTTTAAAACTTAATTTAATTAAATTTATTATATAAATTTTTTTAATAAATTTATAATTATTTATAATATTATTTATTATTTAAAAATTTATTTTATATTAATATATTAAATAATATTAAATTAATTTATATTATTTTATTAAAAATTAAAATATTATAAATTATAAATTAATTTAATATTAATAAATAATTTAAAATATTAACTTTATTATATATATATTAAATTTATTATATATTTTAAATAAATATAAGTTAATTATAATATAAAATAAAATAATTATTTTTAATTAAAGTTTTAATTTTATTTATATAAATATTTATTTATTAACTTTAATATATTATAAATAAAATTATTTAAAAGTTATTTAATTTATTATATTATTTAATTAAAATATAATTTTAAATAAAGTAATTATATTTTATTATTTAAATTTATTATTTTAATAATTTATTTTATTATAAATAAATAAAGAAATAACTATTAATAATTAAAATATATAATTTTATAAAATAAATTTTATTTTAAAAAGTTATTAATATTTAAAATAATTAATATATTTTATAAATAAATTAAATAATTATAAATTTAAATTTAAATAATATAAAGTTTTAATTTTTAAAATATAAAGAATTATTAAATTAAAGAAAGATTAAAATTAAATTAAATTAAATTAAATTTTAATATAATAAAATAATTAATTAAAAATTAATTAAAAATTATAATTATAAATATTTTAACTTTACATTTAATAAAAATATTTTTATTATATATATTATAATTTATTTCTTTTTATTTCTATTAATAATTTTTAAAAGAAATATTATATAAAATACTTTTTAATTAAAATAAAATATATTAAATAATTAAATTAAATATATTTTTAAATATTTTTATATTTATATAAATTAAACTTTAAATAAATAAATATATATATAATAAATATAATATTATATAATACTTTTATATATTTATAACTACTTTAAAATATATAATAATTATAATTTTAACTAATCTATTAAACTTAGGCCGCTCTCTTAACTAAGAAAGTGTTTGGAGTAAAGGTTCCATTAGGATCAGCGATCTTCCTAGCTTTCATTAACCTCTCGTACTGAGTCCGGTCATCGTAATAGAACCCCCATGCCTCATCGAGGTCGAAGTTTCCATACGATCCCCACAGCACACGTCGGTCCTGCTTGCTGAAGATGCCCTTGGGCCCGATGGCCTGCACATCGTTTGTGTGCGCCCATGCCTCGGCGGCGGCCTTCTTAGATGGCTTGTGAAAGTTGTCGATGGTGAAACAAAAAGTCGAGTCCCGCCACTGCCGCGGATTGTAAGCTCATGTTGTTTGTGTAAAACAGCAACATTGAGACGGGATGGTCTACTCACGCTGAACGACGTCCCGTTATCGGCATTCGTTCTGAACCGCGAGTGCTTGCCACCAAAGCACTGCAGCTGCGCCGAGAGCCACTGGCCGTTCCCGACTGGCCGAACGACCTCGTCCATCCTCCCGACCACCCAGTCGACCCAGCCGTTGGTGCTCAGCTCCGTCGAGGTGGTCAGATACGTCCGCTTGACGTAGGGCAGGTCGAACTCCCTGGTATTTCGGAAGATCCAGTCGGCCGTCAGCTCCGACATGGGCTTCTCCTCCACGCCCGTCTGGAACCAGCAGCCCGTGCGCAGGCGCTCGAAGAAGCCCATGTCGGGCCTGTCGTCCTTGGTGAAGGGGACAAACTGCGCGTACACAACGATCATGCGCGGCCACACGGGATTGCCGTCCTCGCCGAAGATCTCGGGGTGCGCTTCCTCCATCTTGTTGTCTAGCCCGCCCATGAGGCCCAGGATGTCAAACGACGAGCTCAGCACGCTGATGCACAGGTCGTAGTTGCGCGGGAAGTCCTCGTCGTCGTTCATCTCGGCCAGCACCTGCAACAGCTGCCGCAGCTTCTTGGTGTCGTACAGGTGGAGCGCCTTGAGCCCCCGCGAGCCGGGGTAGTCGGCGTCACGGTGAACCTCGACGGTGAAATGCGTCAGCACCCCCAGGTTCCCCGGGCTGCCACCCAGCCACGCGTAGAAGAGCTCCGGGTCCCCCGCCCGCGTTACCTCCCTCTCCTCACCGGCGTGGTCGACCACCTCGAGCGACCGGATGTGGTCCCCAAACAGCCCGAAGCTGCGGCCCAGCTGCCCGTACCCGCCCGTCTGGGCGTGTCCGCCCACGTGCACGGCCGTGCATTGCCCGTGAGGCACGAAGGCCTTGTGGGACCCCAGGAAGGCGTTGAACCTGCCCAGGCTCCAGCTCACGCTGGCGCGGACGTAGCTGTTGTCGTCTTTCTCGAAGTAGGCCAGGTCTTCGGGCCCCTGGAAGGTGGTGCGAAGGTCGAGCAGGATATTATCCTTGCTCGTGGACGAGGCGCCGCTGTACTGGTGGCCACCTGTGCGGATGGCGATGGCCTTCTTCTGGGCCCTGGCGAAGAGCACTGCGAGCTTGATGTCCTGTTTGCTCTCGGGCTGGATGATCAGGCCCGGCTGCATATCATGGTCAACGCCGTAAGTTGTCGTGGCGTACTGGTACTGCCACTCGGGGTACTCCTTTGTCCCGAGGGCAAACTGCTTCCCTGTCACACCTTCTATTGTCGCCATTGTATTACAGCAAAGTTGAGATGTCTTTGCTGGGAACACCCTTTGCCATGTTCGAGCCAGCTTTGTGAGCCACTCTGTTATATACTGTAGAGGGATCCTGCAAAATTACATCAGACGCCGACCGGCGACACCGTAGAGGCTAATCCTATTCGTATAAGAAAAATTGTTTGCTGACAGCTGAGAGTGGCACGACAGCTTCTTGACTGGGGGGTTACAGGATCCATAGCGGGCACAGTCACATGTAGGTACCTAGGTATCGGACCCATGCCCTGATCTGGCGGTCTAGCCATGGAATCCATACTCGTACGCTGTTCAATTAGATATTTTCTGGCATGTGATGAGGCTGTACCAGTTGGCGGTGGCCGGTCAGTCCGGGGCGGTGCGCCTCGTGCGTGTGCAGGCTGTTGTCAGCTGAGATAAGACAATTCCGTGTTATTTCATTGTTGCACTTCTCTCAGCTGGGACGGGGCCGCTTGCTTGTCATCGAGGACACGAATTACTCGGTGGCCTATCTAAGGCCCTGAATGCAGTTAAAAAATATCAGCACACAATGTCTCCTCGTGCCTTCGATGACGAGCTTTCCCGTTTGGGCTAGAAAATTCATGGCCGAGTTTCTCTTGTCGTGACCCCGTGCGGATTGACAGAGATGTTGTGCTTGGACTGCGTCGGGGGCAAAATGTAATCGCACTTCCTAATAGAGAAGAAGTGGTTCGACCAGGCACCTCACGTGAGTATGTGGTTTCGCTTCTTTTCCGTATACGTCCGAGGACATACATGGCGCCTTCATGAGGTGGTAAGCACTCAAGACCTCACGTGCGTATGGACGGCCTTTCAGCTGCTTACAGGCCGAGTATCACCTCGATTCTTGATTGGCCAGCGACTTTATATCTTGGTTCTGTTCTGCCCATCGTCAGCGTACCTAGGTAAGTAGCGGCTTGGGGTAAATCGTTTTCAGGCTGCAGCTGACGTTGCAGTGAGATTGCAGCTTGGTTTACACACGTTGGCTACCAGATTCAGGCATCTTGAGCAGCATGTAATATTTGTGAATAAGAATTTAAACCACATTGTGGCCCGTCTCAGATTAGCTGAAATGAAGCAACACATGGCTGCAGGAATGTTAAAGGGCTGCCCCCAGTATATACGAGTGCACGTCAAGGAAGGCTACCTCGGACCGAGGTGAATGAGGTCAGTGGCACATATATGATCTTGATATCTATGGCTTAGTTTCATGACAGTCGTTGCATTCAAACTGGCGCTGCACTGAGTGGAGTAGTGATTAACTTGAGCAATGTAATAAGGCCTCGTTGCAAAGATCAAACTCATGCCTTGCCTGGAAAGAATTCAGCAAGCAGAGACGTTGAATTTTGATTGACACTTCCGTCAGGGTTCTGTCCTTGGATCTGCTGTGGTTTCCCGATCGACCAGGATTTTCGGTTCGTTAGCTTCTCAAGCTCTACGCATCACGCCTGGGATGACGTCCCAAAGCATGTGTGGGTGGCTCCTGCTCAAGCTGCCTAAAAGCCCGGCAGGGAACGCACCGCTTCTACTTTGACTTATATTCCCGTTTATACGCAGCCAGCATCCGCTCACCCAGCCTCTTATGGTCGCTTACCTATCTCTTTTGAGAGGTAGTAACCCGGAATTATACAACCAACGCCCCCGCCGCCAATAACGAACCCTGTATCTTAAATCAGGGCCAAGAGAAATGTACATCTTAACCTCAAAGATAGCAAGCAAGGATTTCCCTCGCGGCACATCGTCGGGGACTGTGAGAACCATCTCGGTGAGGAGAAAGAGCCTGTGTGCCGGCACAGAAACGGAGAACAGATTCGCATTCCAGCCAGTAGCCTGAGAGCCAGCGCTTTGCGGAAGATGCTGGACATTGTTGCGGTGTCAGCTGCGAATATTGTTTAGTCTGGTCTTTTCACGCCCGGCCAACGTTTCATTTTATCGTATGGCTGGCCTCAGACATGCGTATATTTTGCAATCCGGGGAGCAATCCGGGGAGCACTCCTTCGCTAAGTCCATATCGGTCCTCCTCCAAGAACTTTAGTTGTGAGGAACGGCCCGTGATCGACGGCCAACCCTGACTTACTGCTGGTGGAGAATTCCATATTATATGTCTCGGAAGCTTGAATATGCCATATATCACTATTGTAGTTCGTCCTGCCTACCATTCCTTTATGTCAGGACATGTCCAGTCAATTTCGGTTTTATGCCATTAAATGTCACGAGCTTTGTCGGGTATCCGCTACGCGACCACAGTAAATTAAAAATAAAAAGTCTTTAAAAATATTTAAAATAATAAATTAAATAAATTAAGTAAATTAAATAAATTAAATAAATTAAATAAATTAAATAAATTAAATAAATTAAATAAATTAAGTAAATTAAATAAATTAAGTAAATTAAATAAATTAAGTAAATTAAATAAATTAAATAAATTAAATAAATTAAATAAATTAAATAAATTAAATAAATTAAATAAATTAAAGTTAAAATTTAAAAATATTAAAATTATTTAAATTTATTATATTATATTATTATTATAAAATATAAAACTTTAAATATTATTATAAAATTATAATAACTTTTAAATATAAAGTTAAAAGATTTATAATTATAATTTTTAATTAATTTTATTTAATTATTTTATTATATTATAACTTAATTTAACTTTATTTAAACCTTTTAAATCTTTTAATATTTTTTCTTTAAAAGTTAAAATTTAAAAAAGCTTTTAATTTTAAGTTTAAAATTTTTATAAATCTTAATTTCCTTTAAATTAAACTTATAATTTTTAATTTATTTTAAAATATATTAATTATTTTAAATATTATTAACTTTTTTAAAATAAAATTTATTTTTATATAATTATATATTTAATTATTAATAATTATATTTTCTTTTATTTATAATAAAATTATTAAAACTATAAACTTAAATACTTTATATAATAATAAAGTATAATTACTTTATTTAAAAGTTATTTTTAATTTAATAAATTAATTAAATAACTAATTTTAAATAGTTTTATTTATAATATAATAAAGTTAATAAATAAGCATTTATTTAAATAAAGTTAAAACTTTAATTAAAAATAATAACTTTATTTTTATTTATTTTAATTAATTTAAAAATTTAAATTATATAATAACTTTATATATAATATTTAATAATATTAAAATTAAATAGTTTATAATTTATAATAATTTAATTTTTAATAAATTAATAATAATAATTTAAATAAATATAATTTAATATATTAATATAAAAATTTTTTAATAATAAATAATATTATAAATAATTATAAAATTATTATAAAAGCTTTATATAATAAATTTAATTAAATTAATTTAAAAATTTATTATATTTTATTTTAAAACTTTAATTATTTACTTTTAATTAAATAATAAATTAAAAATATAAATAATTTATAATTAAATATTTTAAAATTAAAAATATAATTTATTTTTATATAAAATATATTTTATTTTATATTTTAAATTAAATTAATAATATAATTCTTTTAAATAATACTTAATATTATATATAAAAATTTAAATTATTTAAAATAAATAATAAAAGTTAATATTTATTTATTTAACTTTAATATTTATTTATTTAATAATTTCTATAAATTTATTTAATATTTATTTTCTTAATAATTTTTATATTTATAAATACTTTTAAATTAATATTAAAAATATTATAATATAATTTTTTAAATTTTAATATTTTAAATATAAATCTTTTTAATATTATTTTTAATATACTTTTAATATACTTTTAATATACTTTTAATATACTTTTAATATACTTTTAATATTTTTTAAATATTTTTTAAACTTTTAAACTATATATATTTAAATATTAATAAATTATTAAAAATAAAAGCTTAAAATATTAAAAGTTAAAAAATATTAAAAGTTAAAAATATATAATTTATTTTTATTCTTTTAATATTTATTTTTTTAATTATTAATTATTTAATATTTAATTAATATTTTAATAT